GAGAGAGAGAGTAAGTCAGAGTGAGAGAGAATAAAACAAGATAATGAGAGCGAGAGAGGTAGAGGAGAAGCGAGAGAGAGAGAGAGAGAGAGAGAGAGAGAGAGAGAGAGAACAAGAAGAAGAAGAAGAAGAAGAGGAGGAGGAGGAGAGTCAGAGAGAACAGCTAGAGAATGAGAACGAGATTAAGAGTAGGGGAGAGCGAAAATAAGCGCGCGCGAGAAAGTGAGTGCATGCGTGAGTGCGTGAGAGAGCGCGCGCGAACGAGAAAGAGAGAAAGAGTGAGAGAGAGAGAGAAAGGTGAAAGAGAGAGAGAGAGAGAGAGAGAGAGAGAGAGGGAAAGAGAGAGAGAGGGAAAGAGAGAGAGAAAGGTGTGTGAGAGAGAGAGAGAGAGAGAGAGAGAGAGAGAGAGAGAGAGAGAGAGATAGAGGAGATAGTCTAGTAGGATACTGCAGTTGGACCGTCGTTGTAACGGGGCATGTTCCCCCTGGCTTATCCTTGCACTCGTCATGCGCACGCACGCACGCACGCACGCACGAACGCACGCACGCACGCACGCACGCACGCACGCATGCACGCAGTCGCGCACACTAACAAGCGCGGCAAAATTTTCTCTTCGATATTTCTTTCGTAATTTTGTAATCACTGTTATTAACGATGTATTAATGTGCTCAGAAAAGTCACAGTATGGTTAGTATATATGCCGAAAAGCCTTCATGTCTGTTGTCTTGCCTTCCTGCCTGTTGTGTACAAAGCAAAAGCGATCCCCTTTTATTAGTGTTCATGTGTTCATCTTCAGATTAATGGTCTGAACTTTTAAAATTATACCCCATTATATCTTACATCGTATTTTACCGTTTTTCGATAAATTCGAACACTATAACTCGATAAGTTCGGTCCTGGCAACTAGTTAAATGACCCCTCGATTGCCACGTTTCGTATATGTGTCAAACTTTATATCAGAATTTTTGTATATAGGCCTATCATATAGTTACATATTTGATAGATAGAACTATATAAGTTCAACATTATCTTCGGTGCTGCAGTGTGATTGGTTGATAGAGTGCATGCTTTAAATACTAATCTCCATATTGAGTATATGAGATTGCGCGTAAAATAAAAAAAACCCACCCCGTATTAGAAACGACCTCTTTTGTACACAACTAAAATATCTTTGCCACAATTGTTAATAACTTATTGAGTAAGATCATGAATGCGTTTGTGCTCCGCGGTCACAAATGTAGTAAATGCTGTAATATATAGAATTCTAATATCACAGAGTGTTTATTGCCATAATTGAAATCGCAAATAAAGTAAAGAGTGCAGCGATTGAAACACAGTTTGAACACGTGTTTGCACGTGACAACGAACAGACAGCATAGTACGTACTACGTAGAAGTAGCTATATTGCACAATAAACTATAATCTAGCCCAGATCGAGGCGTGTGTTGTCTGTGCATGTATGGCGGTATGAGACGTTTTGTTTAGCTCAACTGTCGAAGGATTATATATACATATATATATATATATATATATATATATACGCATACACGTAGTATATGTTTACTGTGCGTATACCCGAGTTAGCACGAACCGCATTTATGAAAATCGGTATATTAATTTGTCCATTTACAGTTTATGTAGGCTACATCGCTATTAAGTGATTAAGCGAACATAAAATATAGAGCCTTCATGGTCACACGACGATAGACAATTATACAAATAGATTTGATATATATATATAA